ATTTATTGTATTAGCTGTAGGATTGGTGCACTGATCATTCACCATTATAATGTTGTAAAATTGTCAATTCTTCAACAGATAAGGAATTGTCATATACAATTAATCGTGTATCATACTTGATACAGGTAATGTAACGTAACTCATACCACTTACCATCATTGTTCAGTGTTAATTTACTTCATGATATAAAATCATTTGCGATGAAATATCTGCTGTTAAAAAAAAGGAAAAAACTGTTGCTACTGATAGATTTGAAATGAGAATATTGGGATTAATACAAGTACTTGAACTTATATCATTTCGTTGGCATAATTAATTTAAAAGTTCTCAGTTTGCAGTATTTTTTTTTTAATTCTAAATTCTAGTATGAATAATCAACCACATGGTGTTCATTATTAATCAGTCAAAATCTATCAGTGATCTCAGGAGTAGTGAATCGGTAAATGGAATAAATTACAACTTGAACATATGGGAGTTGCGATATCGTTGCAGTATTATTATTATGACTTTTTCGTTTGTACTTATGCTTCTGGTTCACCTTCCCAGTTAATGTTTCCAAATAGTTTGTTCATATTTCGTGATGAATTAAGTCGAAAATATGGAGAAAACAAATGCTTTTTTTTAAAATATTTTTTCGAAAACTAATTTACAAATTTGTGTTGTGAACACTCATCATATCTATTGTTAGTGCATCATTGTATTAAATCATGGAAAGTGCTCTAAATCTATCAGAGTTCCCCTTATCTTCTTGCTGAACGAAGTGCATTTCTGGGATTTAGTATTTTTTTTTTGCAGAAGTTTAGTTATTTCTAAATTAAAACATTAGTTAGACTTTGCGAGCTCACATATATGATTTCTACCTTTGTCATAGCTTTTTGATTCTTATCAATAAATTAGCCCTGCTATAACGAGTTTAATTTGGCCACGTATATTACCACTATTTTTTATAAGTTGAACAATTTTAACATGTATGTATTATTTCTATAATGAAAGTGCAAAATGTCAGTTCTGATTCCCTTTTCTCCCTGACCTGTTTTAAATGAATCGTTGGAAAGTTTTTTTTTTTTTTTTTCTACCTACTGATCCATGTAGATATATGAAGTTGACTGTTACCAATACATCCAATTAATTTCCCTATTTACAGTGAAGTTTTTTTCAGCATTACGCCGCGATCAAATTGTATTCATCGAATCAGCGACTATATCTGTTGAAGAAAGGATAAATAATATTCTTTTTTTTCGAACTATATCAATTTCTCTTTGTTGAAAAGATATCTGTTTTATTTATTATAGCAGCAAGCTGTTTAAAGCATCCAAAATGGAAAAAGTATGATGTATGCATATAATTGCTAAAATATAATCCCGCTTCTACTCTATAGGTTGCAAATTTGTATTTCATTTTACATAGCATCGAGGATATCGAATATTATTATTGTCTAAGGGGGAAAAAATCATTCATCTTTTCCTGAAAAAAAAAAAATCGAAATGTATTTGAAATATTTATTAAAAAAGAAAATATAATATTGCGAAAAATTGGTGATCGATCTTTCATAAGGAATTGAATGCACTTTGTTCGTTTGAATGAAATACTTATATTCCTTCTTTAGAATAATGCTTGCATTTGCAGCTCTTCTATCTTTTTTCAATTGTTCTGCAAATTATTTAGTTTAAATTTGAAACATTTTTATTTATTACTAATAGGAATTATATTTCGTACTTATTACTAATAAGAATTATATTTCATTTTTATTTTTTTACAAAAAAATTGTTTCATTTTTTATTTTTTACTAATTTTTATTTACCATTACTAAACATTCTTTTTGCTCTCTTTTTTCCAAATTACATAGTATACTTTTCATCCAAAAGTATTTGCTAACGCAATCAATTAAAAAATGCCATACAACCTTATTGGCTTTAAAATATTGATCTGGTTGAAACTAGTGCGTTTTCTCCGCATTTTTTTTCTTTTTTTTCGTAACAGGCCTACATTTTTTTAACCTTTGATTTAGTTACTGGTCTATCACTTTTTTAAAATCTGTTTATCTTTCACTTTTTATTTTAGTTTCAAATTTTTATTTGCACGGTATGGCTGTTATAAGTGACATGGTTTGAATTAGTGCATTTCTTACTTTTCCTTAGATCCAATGCAGGAGTTTCGTATCTTTCTCCCATAAAATTAGTTAGAGCCAATTGATAGGATTACCTCTATTTTTTCTATGTTTTGATGATTTCAATTGTTAGTTCAAAGTTTTTGTGAAATTTGAAATCAGGATTTCTTGTGCTAGAAGAGTTCTTGCGAAACTTCAAAGGGTCGAGAATCATCCTTGCAGTGAACGGTTATCATTATCATAGGATCTTAAAAATCGTCTTAATTTATTCTCGCATAAATTGCTTCTATTATTATTCGTTCAATTAAGATGCTAGAAAGAGTGGAAATTTATAGCTTATCTAAAATGGTGAAATTATTCTCAGGGAATGTGTAGGGAATGATGGGAATGTAGCAATTTATTTTCACACTTCTTGTAGCAACATACTGCTATAAAAATATACTCGGAAAATTTTGCATTATGATTTCAATGTCAACATGCCTAAATATAGTTAATCGATTTATCCCTTTTTTTGGTATGCGAACTAAACGAATATGAAAGAAATGGTCATAGGTTCTTAAAATTTGGCGTGCATCATTTCCTGTTGATGTGTGTAATAACATTTACAAGCTGCTATTTTAGGGGATGGATCCGACATCACTCGGATTTGTGGCTGTAATTGCTGTTTTGATTATTATAATTTCAATTATTGTCTTTAAGATGTATCCAAAGGAAACCGATTTTGAAAAGGTATATCTTTATTAGCATCTATTCGTTTTTATCCGATGCATTGATATCTGTGAAATATAAGAGGGAAATTGATTTGGGCATTTTTTGCGATGTTTTGCTTTGTTGAAGATAAAGGAACAAGTATTCAGGATGTAGTGGTGTATGGTACGTTTATTATCACTGGTTGATTCTGCACTATTTTTTTTTCTGGTTCTTTTTTTCTTGTTTTTTTTGTTTTTTTTTTTTTTGTAGGCTTATGGCGAAAATGCTCTACGATTGCTCACTGAAGATCGTGCGAATAAGACAAAAAGCGCAAAAAACAAAAATAAAGGGAAGAATGGTGATAAGAAAAGAGATTTAGGAGCAGAAGAAAAACAGAATCGAAATGAAGTAAGTAATTAAGTGGGCTAAATTGTCTGCTGCTATTTTATATTGGAAAGGTAATGTTGTTTTCCGCTGTGATTCATGCGGTTAAAATACTGCAAAACGTTTGTCAGATTAAACTTCCCTTAACAAAATATTCTATGCCACAAGTCTTGCATAAATGCTCCAGGTTAATAACTTGCACATGAACAACAGTTCGTACAATTCTTTATCTCTCCAATTTACAAACTTATGTGGAGTCTTGTAGGTCTTTATGTTACTGCGGTTTACGATACTAATATAATAGGAAAGTATCGCATGTAATAATAATTTTAATGCTATCATATACAAGGAGAGCTGCATTGCGGATGTCAGATTTCTCTTTCGGCATTATTCATTTTTTTACGGTGTCCTCGAATTTAGTCCGGCATAGGGTTTCAATAACGCATAAAAGTTTTTATTTTGTGGTACTTAAATTTGGAAATAAGACTTTGCGTTCAGAAAATTTTGGGAACATCATGTTAAACTCGCAGTGCAAACGCTATATAATTTTATGGAAAATTTAGTGGAAAAGCAGTTTTTTTCTGACTTCATTTCCAGAAACCTGCAAATGGTGATTTACATTATATTCCGTTATCGACGAATGGTCACTGTGGAACCGAAGGATGGAATGGTACGAATAATGGTGAAGTTGATGGAAAGCCGAATCATAAGAAACTCAAGGGCAAACAGCTGGTGGCTGGTCTGTTTATTTTTCATATTTTTCATTTTTTATTTCTGCTATTTATTGAAGCTGATAACAGTGTCGAACTCGAAATTTAAATCTTTACTTTCAGTTGATTTTATGAGTTCTTTTATGACATTACATCATTATAACATAATTCTCACAGGAAAGCTATTTGAATACAGTTGTCCGATTGCTGTTCACAAACTGTTAGTTAGCATGACTCAACTACATTTTTGGAGTCGGCCGCCCATAAACTTTTTTGAAAGAATTGTTATACCATTCAACATTTTTTCCTAATATTTTTACTTATAAAATTATTTCCAGAAATCATGCAACATACAGAATCGGCGAAAGATGAGAAAGTTGCTGTTGCCAAAAACATGGAAGGTTTATCAGGGCAGCGAGTTGTTGCCGAGAAGCTGAATGATGAGCCGGAGGTGGTACCTTCTGCAAGGATTCTTCACGATGAAAATAAGGGAAGTGATGGTTAGTGTTTCTTAAAATCTTTCATAATACCTTATGCACGTCTAATTATATGATCCTTCAACATTATTATTTTTTGCAATAAAATTGCTTAGCGTTTAGTATTAATAATTGTGATTTTGCGAAGTGATGTGTCGTCTATAAGTAAATCGATTTTCGAAAATTAACTGCTATCTGCTGATCTTTATCATTTTCCGTTTATCTACATATTTTATGAAGTAAGGAACAATATCTTCGGAACTAATTTTTTATCCATAAGAAGTTTTTCTCATTCAAAATCAAAATTTAGTTCATAAATTGAATACAAAAATTTAAAGTTGGCGAACGAAAAGGGAAGAAAAAAAATCGTGTGCGACGAAATAAAGAATATTTACGGGAAATCACGAAGGGAGAAGTCAGGGTGACGGAAGAAATAGTCCCAGCTATGGACGTTATACCACCTCTCGAAAGTGAGCAGGAAAAGCTGGAAAAACCGAAATCAAAAAAACGTTAGCGAAAGATTCATTGTAGTGATATTGTTAATATTTCTAACAGTCAAAAAGGGTTGAATGGTAATTCACTGTGCATGAAATTCCTGATATCACCTCTTCATATTCCTAATTTATGATAACTTGTAAACAGGACATTGGGATTTCCTTTTTTTTCCAGCAAACCCATTAAAAGATATCAATGCGAACAAACTTCAAGCACGTTTGAATGCTATCGCAGAGCTTGAGCCAGAGTATGTCACATTCCTCACGAATTATATCAACAATGTGAATACGCAGGTTACTTGACTAGTTTGCTTTTTTTTTTTTGCTAACACGACGTGAGTTTCAGTGACAGTGTTGGTTATCGGTTACTGAAACTGCGTAGCACTAGTGGTAGTTAACAATCACCTTCATTAAATAAACTCGATTGTATTGAACAATTAGGGTTTTATTGCCCGATTTATTAATGTAATTAAATTTTTCTTTAATGTTTTGGATTTCAGAGAGCCAAATTAGATGGTGAAATTGCTCTGATGAGGAAACAAATTGCTGACAAAGATCGTCTCGTCTTATATTGCACCAATAAACTCACCACAGCCGAACAGAAGGATTCAGAAATTGCTATGCTTCAGTTAGTGCTTAGAATAATTAAATAAAATTATTCTGTTCTATATAATTCTATTACATGAAATAGTTTCTATATATTCTATATAATATTTGTAGAAATCTCGTTCTGTTCTATCTATTCTATTCTATAGAATGATCTCGTTATCTATGAAATTATATGTTGGTAGGACGACCTCTTAGGATAGTAATTTTCCAATCGGTAGTAATCATAATGATATTAGTAGCTATTTCTTAATTCCAAATTTCCCGTTTACTAAATAATTGCCCATTGATTTTCCAATCAGTGAAGGCTAGGAAACTAAAAATTCTCCTTATTCATTCAGTTTTTCATTTATCGAATGGTTAGTTGATAATTGGCTAACCATCATCTTGAGTATTGGCTAAAGGTGAGAGTATATGTCACAGTTTTCTTTTTTGCTAGGAAAACGTTAGCTGAAGAAAAGAGGAAGTACAAAATGTTTGAGCAAACAGTGTGCGCTCAATTGAGTAATAATGCGCAGGAGAAGTCGTACTTACAGCGAAAATACGATCAGGTACAGCTTTTTATCTTATCCACGTTTTCCAAGAGGCAGGGTGTTCATCATTTAATGATGCATAATTTAATTTTGATGTACTGATGTGAAATGCGTTCCAAGGCCTCGAATATTGTTAGGCTGAAAATTTGGATGTTACTTTTTTCTTCATCAATGAATATTGCATAAATAAAACGAGTCTGTAAATTTCGCTTTCATCTTTCTCTCAGTTGCAAGGAGAATTTGGTGCACTCAGGGAAGAAATGAAAAAGGCGCAATCTGTTATACACTCGGCGCCACCACCCATTGATACCAAACCTTATCAGCAACAAATTGACCGACTGAAAGCTGTATGTTTTAATTCTTTTTGAATTTCGATTCTAATTCTGTTTATTTGTTCGACTACAAGAAAACCATTTGTCCACTCTTTTATTTTTTCAATTGTTCATTTGGTTGAATGGGAGTTCTTATGAATAAGTCTTAATGATTAGATATTTTGTCGTAGGATATACATAACTGGGTTGAAAGTAGATATTAACCGAAAATGAGAATAAGTGTCACAATTTCTCTTTCAGAGTAGTGCGTTTAGTTGAGCAGTGATACACAGCTATAATATTTCAGTTCTCAAACAGGATGTTTTTTACTTGCGACAGTTGCTATTTGGTACATTTTAGCTGAAAGAGTGTACTTTGTACAAAAGCTATGTAATAATGGTTGTGAATGTACTAAATAGGTTATCTTTATTTTCAGGAATTAACGTCGAGCAAAAATCGTTGTTCGCAGCAGGAACTGGAGTTAAATCAACGATTACAAGCACTGCAGCAAATAAGGAAGGAGTTACAGGTAGGGTTGATGCATGTATTTTAGAGCTATTTTACATATGATCCAAATGAGGAAAGCGTCAAATGGAAAGTACGACAATATAACGAGATAAATGACGGTTCAAATTCTGTCATTGTTCCGCTGTTGGTTTCGTTATTATTCTTGTAGTTCAGTGATATATCAACGTTCTCTTAAATCTGGAAATAGTAGTTAATCCAGTTTTGGTTCATGGGCTTTCTGTATTCAGAAGATTTTAGGAAATAATTATTTTTTTTATTCGATTCTTCTTGATCTTTTGCCACTTTCCCATCACAGCTAGTATTCTGTTCCGGTTTGTTATTGGCTAGATTTTGATATTTTTGCTTAAATTGATTGTAAACAGTTTCCTCTGTTTTTTCTAGAATCAAGATTGTCAGATAGAACATTTGAGCAAAACGAACGCTTTACTCGAGAAACGTTTACAAGAGGTGGAAGGCAATGCGGTAAAGTTATTTGGATTGCTATGAATTATATCACAACAGAAAGTTAGAATCAAACCGAAGATTAAATGAAGCAAAAATTGAATTTTCGAACTGATAATTATAGGATATCTTGCATGTTAATTTCTTAATATGCTTGATATACATTTTTATTGTCGAATTTCTTATCACTTAAAGGTAACAATAATAAGGGGCGATTCGAACAGAAATATTTTCATATTTTATTCGTCTCTTATTCAGAAAGCAGAACGTGATACGCTGGAGAAGAAACTGCAAAACACGATGAAAGTGGCAGAAGAGTTAAGCGTAGTGACTTCCGAGATTCGGGACGAAATGTTGCAACATAGAGGGAATGCCGAAACAGCGGTTCAGGAACGAGAAAAGGTGAATTTCGTGATCATTTCTATTACGATATTGGTAATTGAAATTTTTTTTTAATATTTGTCCACCTTTGAATGCTTTTTTTTACCAAAAACTTGTTTTCTCTCCTTTTTCGATGTTTAGTTTTTAGGACTCCAATTAATCCCACCAATTTAGAGTAAGTGGCAAAGTCTGAAATATCCCGTTAATATTATAAAAGAATCTGGTAGAAATAAAAGGATAAGAGAAGGTATGGAAAAATTCGAAAGGCTAGACTATTAGGAGAAAACATATGGTGACGCTTTTGCGTTGTAAATAATGTTTGAAAGAATATTAGCTTTTCCATATTCTAGCATTGCGAGCAAATTCATATTTTAAATGCACAACTTATGGATGCCAATCGAGAACGCGTGAGGTATTTGAATGATTGTGCTGTATACAGCAAAAAATTGACCGAAATGGAAACTGCGAACGCTGAGGTAAAAGAGCTGATTACTTTTGTTACTTGTGTTCATTTTATGTAAAGTTTTGCTCAACCGATTAGTAAAATTTTAGTTTTTGTAATTAACCAGTGATAATCTGATGTTCCCCATAGTGCATGCTTTTTTCATCAACCAGAATGTGCATGTTACATGTATTCGTAAATGCCATGAGCAAATTATTCAACAGCAGTGCTCAAACTGTGATCTACCCTTATCGACTCCTTCTTCCTTGGTTAAGCATAATTTTGATGACATTATTACAGTTAAGCGAGCAACTGAAAGTGCTGCAGAACACAAGTGCAACAAGTGATGCAAATTGTAGTGAGTTAACGAAGGAAGTTGAAAAATATCGAAAACAGCTTGTTGATATTATGGAAGCGCATGATAAGGTAGTTTTGATATCCTCGAATTTTCTGATTTAATATGATTATTCTTCCGCCTGTACTGTTTCATCGTGAAAATACTATGCGAAAGATCATAAGTATCAGCTGAATTTACATTTCGGAATATGTAATTCCAGAATATGGCATCTCTTTTTTCAGGATGTTGCCAAGCTAAAAAATCAACTAGAATGTGTCCAGGAAGAGAAGGAAAAGTATGTTAAGCAAATGTCTGTCGAGTCAGTAATTTCTCCTTTCATTTAAGATGTCAACAACTATGTTTTCTAAGCAGATGTCTATGAGGAAGCAATTTCTCCTTCCATTTAAGATATCACTAGTTACCGGAGTACCCATTAGATTAGCTTGTTAAAAATAAGATACCATAGTGTTTTATAATTAGCTACCGTGAAACTTCAAAGGATTGAAAATTGTTGTATCTTAATCGCCATCTTTTTCAGCATTTCTAAGGAAGCAGTTGAAGTTGCAAAATGCCGTAAAGAATTAAACGAATTTAAGATTGAGTACGACAAAAAATTGAACCGTATTGTCTCTTTGGAAGAGGAAGTTGCAAAATATAAGGAAATTGAAATAAAAAGGTTAGGAAAAATTTTTTTGAGTCAGCAGGGTTGACTCAAATTGTTGATTTCAAACTGAATAATTTATTAGAGACCTTAGGTGAGTGATTTAGGTTTAGAATCATTGCATGAGAAAAGTGATTACATTGCTTCTTTGGGTGATTAATCCCCAAATATTTTCTATTTTTTTAGCATTGTGATTTCAGGTGGGAGTACTTATTCGAACAAGGTTCACATATTTATATAGGAATGTACAGTTGATTATATTATCTGGTATTTCACTTAATATGGGCAAGATTAGAATGTTCGAATCCATTTTTTCTATTATAATTTGAATTCATTCTCATTATGCTATAAGTGGAAATGTTTTACAGAAAAACGATGGTGCCTTCTCCTGATAATAATGGCACAGACGTGAATGAAAAAGTAAGTAGTTTCGATTTTTTTTTCACATTTTTGTAAATCTATTCTCGTTAATCCTAAAGTGCACAACAAGAAACATTTTAATAACGATGTCGAGAATTTTATGAATTAAGGTAAAGTTGGAGAAATAATCTACTTTGATCAGAACATCTATATGAAATAGATCGAGGAACCCATAGGATGCGCAAATCAATAATTCAATGCAATAGATCATTTCAGCAGAATTCTTTTATTTCTTTGCATACATTTTCTTCAATCGCCAAAACTTGATATCTAAGAATGAGTTGATGAAATATTGACATAGCTCTTGTTTTACTTCATTATTCTTTGCAGATATCTCTATTTTTTCACTACATTTTTATTTCAAAATAGGTAGTTTTTGGTACTGAAATATGTAATATGGTTTTTATCGTTGAAATCGTTTCTCATTTAAATGAAACTGAGGTGCTCTCTATTTTCCTGTTTTCGTTTTTCTTTTTGACTTGTATTTCTGGGTCGTCATGGTACAATTGCTCCAAAAGGCATTTATGCAGTAATATCATGTGTTAGTACCTACGAGGAAAGTTGGGTCTAATTTCTTTTCTACTTTTTATCCGTAAAATCTGAACAATGCTTGAGACAATTAACTGTTAATAAGATGAGCAACATCTCCTCTAACTTACAGCAAAAGTATTAAATATATTGTCCGATATAGTTTGTGCACTTCTTATGATCTGTTTAGATTGACATCCATAACTGCAACGTGTTCTAGGAGGATCTAGGAGGATAACTGTTCTTTTATCCTTTATCCTTATTAAGAATATATCAATAAATATATCTGTATTCCCTTTCCTTTTTTCTTTTTCTTCCATTTAGAATTTAGGTAAAAAGAAAAGGATAAGAATTGTTTTCTGTAGATACCGATAAACTGCTTCAGGTTAAGGCTCATATTTTAAAAAATTCGATTTTTAAAATTTCATCAATTAGACACAAGTCCATTTCTAAACTTTCTCAAGCAACATAGTACGCTTACTGCGAATTTCTTCGTTTACAGATGATGAAGCACAGAGTCCAGTCGGCTGCAAAAGATGATGTAGTTTGCGGTAATAATGTTAATTTAGAGGTCACCAGACTGAAAAGGCAAAATGAGGTTAGTGATTGAAATTCAGTAATCACGTCAACACGATTCTATAGATAAATTCGACATATCGAGCTATATTTCATGTTCTGAACTACCTTCTATTATGTACTACCTACATACAGCTGCCTAGAAAGGTAACTGTATTGTAACCTTTCTTCCTCCTTGTTTGATGTACTACAGGAACCACTGCTGAAAACTGATTCAACCCAGCAAATACATGGGAAGAGAAAAAATATTTTCACAAAAAAAATATTTTAAAATGAAAGGAAACAAATGCAGGAGGAAATATAGTAATCAAATTATGCATTACATTTGGGTTAAGCCCTGTTTGATTCAGTTGTCCCAAGATAGATTTGTCGGGGTTACACTTCCAATGGGACATAATTTACCCCATTAGTATTTTGAAAAAATGCATTTGACATAGTGGAGAGTTTCTTCCATGCAAATTAATTTAGAATTCTTATCGAGTAATATAACATCTTTTGCAGGAGTTACGTAAGGCAAATTATAAGGTTGTAGAAATTTCGCAGCAACAGGAAGCCATTTTCAAGAAGCACTTGGAAGAACTGAAGGTGAATTTCGAGCTAATGAAGTAGTTCTGATTTGATTATAAACCGCGGGAAAGATGGGAGAGGAACAAGACTTCGAAACTTTGAAGAGTCAGTGGAATTCCTGAAAATCATACGAAATTACTCCGGAAATTTATGGTTTTATTTCATCACATAGTTTGAGTTGATTGACGTAAAATATTTTTTTTGCAGAAAAAGTATGAGGTAGAGCTTCAACAGTATTGTTGCAAGGTATTCGAGACGCTGTGTGCAATTGCACCGCCGAATATAAAATTGCCGAATCTATCGAATATTTATGATATGGATCAGTTCTGCAAATGGTTAAAGAATGTCGAAAATGTGGTACAGAAGAGCGAAAATGTGCAGGTTGGGGGAATTAACGATGATTTTTCAGAGATTTGTGATTTTATTGGTCAAATAGTTTGAATTGCAGAAGACTTGAGAGACGTACTATTATTGCTTGCTGGCCAGTGGTTAAGTAGATAGACTAATCCTGTTAGCTCAGATATTAATCATTGGTTGCAATTTATCGTTGGATGTTAGGCTATTGAAAGTTTTTTGGTCTGTTTATGGAGAAAATAAATTCACTTATATGATGCATTTAAGCAGTTCAATAAGAATGAAGACGATGAGAGCGGAAATAAGGTGGATTTGACGAAAGTTGCAGAGCTGGAGGCAAGTAATCGAAGGTATCGAGCAGCACTTGCTAGTCTTGTGAGTTTTCATTGCGAACATCGGAATGTAATTAGCGATGCTATAAGTAGCTCGTTGATTTTTAATAAGAGACTAGGAAGGCATTACCTGATTTTCAAGTAAATTTTTAATTTATCGTGTTCATTAAGATGTGTAGTATTCAAAAAAAAAAAGAAAAAAAACCTGCAGTCGACTTTTGCATCGACTTTTGCAGTCTTCTCACATTGATACAATCGAGCAAGAAGCCATTTCGAAGGAGAAAATATATCTTAGTGAAATTTCATGCTTACGACATGAAGTAAACGAGGTTTGTTCCACTTTTCAAATATTTTTTCAAATCTTTTTTCCGAAATTTGGTAAAGTGAAGGAATTGAACAATGTGCTGAGTGATGAAGCACTCAATCATGCTTCATTACTCAACATATTATCTTAATTTTAAAAGATTTCCGTGTAATACTAATCGCACGTTTGGTCCTTTATTTTTTTCCCCATTTTTTCCGTTTTCCTATTTTTATTGTTTTATTGTTTATTGCTTTCATTAATTACAGCATGCTTCAAAACCTTTTGCTTGCTTTAATAAAGTAATAATGTACAAAACAATAGTGCATTCACTGAAAAAGTCTGGAATGAATTACATATTTTATCGGCATAATTGGCGATGATAGCCATTTTTGATATTAAGATATGGTTTTTTTTGCAGTCATAATAAAATATGACTTCGGGGATACCTCAAACCGTCCTTCTAATCCAGTTCCTGACACTGAAATGGTAATTTTAGTGATTCTTCCAATGGATGGACTATTTTTATGGTGGAATGTGTGTTTGTAAGCCTTCTAGCTTCTTTTTACCAATCACTTTCACGTTGCAGCAACTCAAAAAGCGACTAGAAAATGAGCATAAACGAAAGTTGGAGCTTATTTCTCAAGCATCCAAACTTTGTGAAATAATAAATGGGTCGCAAAAATATGGTAATGGCGGAGCCGAACCAACTGTGAAAAGTGAAAATGCATATGATTTTGGCGGTGCTAATCATATTTAGAAAGGAAATCATACAAAAGTGGTAAGGGGAAGTTATGGTGAATTTGGCGGAAAAGTTTGTCCTTCATTTTTTTTCTTTTTAGATGTTAACTTTTAATGTTTTGGTATATGTCAACTCTTATTTTCACTTTTAATTTTAATCTTTCCGCTTTTCATAAATGCTTTCCTTTTTCTTTTTTTATTTATTCTTACCGAATTTTTAGGTTTGGTAATGTATGCATGCTCGATATTCGTGTTCTTTAACCGGATGATTCCTACTATACGATTTCCTTGATTGCTTTGCTTCCATAAACTGTGATTAAATACCATTCTGCGTCCGTTTTGGTTAAAAGTTTGATTCTAATATAACTTCAAGGCCAATATACATGTATATATATATATATATATATAATGTTTAAAAAGGGAAATCATACAAGAGTGGTAAGGAAGAGTTATGATGAATTGATAAAACACTATATAAACCATTAACTGACGGTTCCCAAACGAATAAATCTGCTACAATCAAATAGCGCATACATTATATCTTGGTTTCACTTCAATATATCTTTTTCTGCCATATGCAAATGGATTTAGCACGTGTACAAGAGAGCACAAAGTTAGCCTTTTTGGACATTATTACATTCCGGTCATTTTACTTTACGGCTTTATCTTTGCTTTTTTTACCAGAGTTTTAAAAAAGGTTCTATCTATTCTCTCGTTCTACTACCCAATTATTACACGACGAACATTGCATGTGCCTACCAGTTACAAATGTAATAAGCACTAACATATGACATATGAATATTTGTTTGCTGCTATCTGTACGTGTGTTTGTTTTTGTTCATTTGTTTATATGCATGTATATTGCTATTCCTACTTCCCTTTCTGTTTTTCTTCATTTTCAGCTAACTTCTAACAGTGCTTATTATTAAATCTTATAAGTAATGGAAAATGAGGAGAATGTATACATTGGTAATGTTCTGAATTGAAAATGAAGGTAAAGATGGAAGAGGAAGTACTCAAATTCATGCATTTCGACGATAAGCTTTTGCAGATAGCAAGTCAATTATAATAATTTAAAGTCGGAAAAAAGAAATGAAATATTCGATGCTGCATTAATGAGCAGTTGAAGGGTACCTAATTGGAGAATATGAGACATTTTTTGAATGTCATACAGGCGACAGATTTTTGTTAGATTCTTCCTCGTTTTACAAATTTAAGCCAATTTTTTTGTTTCATACAAGATAAACTGTCCTAAAACAAGAATTACTATTCATTTATTACTCATTTGTTTCATTTGTTTCATTCATTTTTTCATCTGTTATTCATAGCTATTCATTTGTTCAAAGCAGTCAAATTGAAATTAACATTTGGCATATCAGTTAGAATGTTAGATTTTCCACAAATTGATACTGATTGAATTTTATGTTGAACGCAAAAGTTAACTAATTTTTGCATCGTTAGCTTGACCGTGTAAAACGAAATTACAGATAAAAGTTGTTGGACAATTTTAACAATTCGATGCAATCGCTGTTGATGATGAACTTGAAAACTGTTGGTAGCCGAAAGTGGAAAAATTCATTTAGCATTGGTTGGATGTGGACAAAGAAGTTTCGGGTAATTTGAAACAAGGAAACGGAAACTTTGTTTCTTTCCTTCCTCTCTCTCTCTCTCTCTCTCTTTCTCTTTCTTTCTTTATGGTCAAAAAAATTAGACTGATGAAAAACTGAGCAAACTGAGTAAAGGCAGAGTTAACATTTAACATTGAAAACATTTTCTGCTTTTTTTTAGACAATATTTTCTCAATTTTTTAAATTTTTAATAAGGGAGAGAGATGTTAAAATTAGCGCACAAAATGGACAAATGATGGAGTGTTTAAGAGATGTATTCATGATTCCACTGCTAGGGTGATAAGGTCTGGTTAGGTCTGATGAATTATTCATATATTTATGATTAATTGCGTTTTCCAAATAAATCACTTACGTATTTTTATAATTCCTACTTTTCTGTAAATCTTTTCAGGTATATATTTAAACAAAACTTTTTTCTTTCATTTGAAATTCAGCATTCTGTCTTCGTTGATGTTTTTATAGATTGTTGTTATTGTGTTGCTTGATTGTTCTACTAGTTGAAATTGTTTTGGGAGATTTCTTTTCATTTCTTTTTTAGTTAAGATAGAATCATTTATGCAAAATAACTTCACTTTATGCATTATTGACCCAAATTTCAAGAACAAAAACAATTCTGTACGGTAAAAGGAAAGTTTTATCTATCCCTATGAATGTGTTCCTTTCTTTTTTCCTTTTTTCTTCTGTTACAATTGTTTGAATTGGGAATAAGCAAAGACATTCTGCACAAACTACTCCTCCACGTATCACTTTCTCCATTAATAGGAGTTTATTTGTTGCAACTTTTAATTTATTTTTATTTTTTCCTTTTGAAATTATTAAAGTGTTTTTTTTTTGTGAAAATATACTACTTCTACAGTATTACTTGTTAAGTTTGAAATCAACATACCATTCTTTATTCTTTTATTCTGTGGTATACTATTTGATTCATATATTAAGATGAAAATAATCATCAGATCTATAACAAATAGAAGTAGAAATTTGATGATTTCTAATATCAAAGTAGTAAACATTCGTTTTTGTTTTTGTTTTATTTTTAATTCCCATGCACGTTACTCTTTCTGCTTTTCTTTTTTTTCCATTCAAATTTTTATTCATTCTACTTCTGGTTGTGTTTGTTGATTCTTTCTATTTTTGTTGTTATGCTACGCATATATGCATGTAAGTGATTAATTTCGCATGCATGCATACATGCATATACATTTTGCAAATATAAGGAAGTACAGATTTTATGCATATTTGGAATTTTATGGATTTTGAATGATATTATGCATATTTAAAGATGCGAAAAAAAGTTAAAGATAAATTATAGCCTATATGAATATAGGCATATTATGAACTTAACTATATTCATAGGTCAATTACATAACAGTTACTTCCTTTTTTTTCTCATATTTTCCCTTCCATTTTTATCACATCTAATTTTATCAATTAGAATGGTTTATTTTTACAGTAGCATTTCATTGCTTTGAATAAAACTTAGAATATGTCGAAATTTTGCATATCATCGTAAATAGGAAATAGATTATCTTCTGGAGCTTAGACGATAGTCTCCACTTACAATACCTTTTTCCTTTACTAGAAAATTTTGATCAATTTATTGATTTTTCTGATCAGTTTCTAGAAGAGGGAATAGATCGTCTTCTGGAGATCAGACGACAGTGCACTTACAATACCTTTTTCCCTTACTAGAAAATTTTGATCAATTTATTGATTTTTCTGATCAATTTACAGCGCTGTCCAGTGATCTAAAAGTTTCGAATAAAAAGATGTAAGCAATTAATTGACATTTTCTGAAAAAAAAAAGTAATTAAAGACAAAGTGCAATATTCACATATAACAGATAACAGGTAAACATTCGTGTCATTTCAATTTCTTACTTTTGTTGTCCTTTGACATATATGACCAAGTGACAAGCTTTTCTTATGCAATTCTTTGTATCATGAATAATACCATTGAAAAAAGTATGAAGAAATGAAAGTATGGAATCGACTTTTTCAACTTTTTGTCCAGTACAAGTATAATGAAATTTTAAAACTACGATATAAGAATTAATCAATAAATTGATTGGATCATTTTATCGTATTGTCGTAGTTGAGAGGGAAAAAAGAAAGGATGAAAGCTTGTAAGAATTAATTAATGAATTTTAATATTTTCAATAGTTAAGACAACTTTCCGCAAATCATTCATTCATAATTCAAAGTAATCGATGATGTTGTTTGATGTAACGGAAAAATTCAAAATGATTCGAACTATATGTCATTCTGACTTTTTCAATTTTCCGTTCTTTTTTTTTTTTTGCTTCATAAATCGAGCATCAATGCTTTTAAACGAAGTTTCTCAATATTTGATTAAATTTGAATTTATTAATTGAATAAAGTGATTTGATGATGGTGTTGTTAATGCTGTTGATGATGCTGGCGATGATGATGATGATAATGATGGGAACAATTCTTCTCATACAAATTCAATAAATAATTAAAAACCTAACAGGACAAAGATTTGAAAAAAAAAAAAAGGAAAACTGTGATAAAATAAATAGACGAGAATAATATAAGCTCATAGGATAACATTTTAATAACAAGTAACAATTAAAAAATGATTCAAGTAGGATGAGAAATTGAATAAAAATTTCAAACTAAGCATTAATTAATTAGCTAAATATTTTCCTCAAATAATGAAATAACAAACATACCTAGCTGTTTTGCTTTTTTTTTTTTAATCTGAAATTTATACTGTAGATGAAGGAACTTCTCTTGCGTTATCATCCACTCTCAAATGTAAAAAGTTTTTTTTTCCTCCCCTTCATAACCCGCAATGATATGACTTTTCAATTAATATATGAATTCGCAAATGAAATTTTAATTTTAATTAATTTATCATATGACTGTGAAAATTTTCCTTACAATTTTGAAAGCTATGTAATGTGGTATGTCATCAATATAAGTTAACATATATACAGTATTTCAAATGTTTGTAAAATGTGGGAAATATTTTTTCTTTTTTTCATATATCATTGATTTTAAATTGATTTTAATTTCTTGCCGATATGAAGTTTTCACTTATAAAAACTTCAAATTTTAGCATTCTTCAAATTTTATTATTGAAAAATTTTTATATTTCTAATAATTGTATAGTTTGTCATTGTCATGAGATAGCATATATGAGATATTTCAAATCATATGATGGTGGAAAATTTTCCGCATTCCAGGTATTCATGCATCATCCTCTTACAAATCATATAATGGTGAAAATTTTTTCCGCATTCCGGATATTCATGCATCATCCTTTTACAAATCATATAATGGTGAAAAATTTTTCCGCATTCCGGACATCCGTATATCGTTCTCTTGCAAATCATATAATGATGGAAATTTTTCCACATTTCGGGCATTCATGAATCGCCCTCTCGCAAATCGTATGATATGTCGTAAATCATGCATCGTTACATATGTCGTAATTTTTCGACATATGTTGTATATTGTTTTGATTATTAACCTTACCATACATTGGATCAATCGTATCAGCGACAGATATGATATGTAAAATGAATGTTTTTTTTTCCTTCCTCAATTGATTGTATTATCATTTAGGTAAAAATAATCTTGATGATAAATAATGATCAAAATGTGTTCTGTATCATTAAATAGTATAAAATGAATTGAAATGAAAATATATCGATTTAATTTAATTTATACAAAGTTTGTAAATGGGATCTATTTAAATTTTAGATATCGCTTAATTAGTTTGGTTGAATGCTGCATGAAATCATTATCAGTTTCATCAATTCTCTTGCCGGATTAAATTCAAATAAAATTTAAATTGCCCTAAACTTTCTTTCGAAATATTACACGAAATTTAATTAAATTATATTTGTTCAACAATCTACAATGTGATCAAGAAAAGAACAAACCTTCGTTTTTATAATAAAATGTTAAAAGATTGATAGGAAAAAGTTAGAAATGATTAACAATAATAATAACTTATTAGTTTGAAAGAGATGAAACTTTACGACAGGTAAATCACAAAGGTAAACCATTTGTACTGTCATAATAATATACATTGAATTAATTGTTTGAAAATAATTGCTTTTTTTTTGATTTCTACCTCAGAAAAAATCGATAAAATCGATCAGTATTGCATGTTGATACAATTGCAGAAATAAAAAAAAAGGAAAAATGAGAAAATCTGGACTTTTGCGCCATTTAATTTATCAACATGATATACACTGAAAGCAAAAGTTCAATAAACTTCCAAGCTATTTTATTTCAACCTTTATTAAATTTATCTTTCATAAAATTTAACTTTATCTCAATTTGCATAAATTTAACAAAACAAATTT